TGTGTGTGTGTGTGTGTGTGTGTGTGTGTGTGTGTGTGTGTGTGTTTCTGTGTGCTGCTCTGATCCGCCTGGGCCGAGAAAGGACGAGTTCCCCCTGATATACTTGACCTAATTAGGAAAGCGCTCGAAGCGTCGACGATCAATAACACAACCAGAGTATCAGGCCCTTAATTACCCACCAGTCGTCAACCCTCAACCTCGAAGACAGTTGAGTCGACGTATATAGGCATATATTTCGCCTGTCGCCCTGTTTTCAGCCCGTCAAAAAGTCAATCAGTCAACCAACCAATCAATCAACCAACCAATTAATCAACCAACCGATCAACCTAGCAAACTAATCAGCCAGCCACCGCACTGATCAGCAAATCAACGGATCGAATCCCTAACGAGATCAAGTGCTGCGGAGCACCTCTCCAAGAGCTAAATCCAGCTCCTTCTCATCTCTGCAGTTATACCCTAAAAAGTAGGCACGTGCTAGCCGCCCCGACCCTGTGTATATCTCCTGCTCATCTTGATTGGTAGCTTGATCTAGCTGCCGCCGCCCGGGCTCTGTCGTCTCGTCTTCTTCTTCCTCAGGCGTTAGCCATCTGTCAAAGCACCTCCCAGAGACTGCACACACCAGTAATTGACACGAAGGATCTAGTATCTGCTCTCGACACGTGTCATCACACACGTGGGCTTTGCCTGTCTTCTCACACAGAAACACGTCTCCTATCTGATGATAAGAACACGTTTTGCCAGAGCACACGTGGTCCGCTGCTCCTAACAAACTCTCTTCGTCGAAAGAATGCATCTTCCTCCACGCAGTTATGTGATCTGCGACCGAGGAATCCACCATAGCCAACAGCTCGGCCTCGTCGGGTGCGCCGTTTCTCAGCTGATCCCACGCCGGCGCTTGACCTCGTTTCGCCGCCTGCATCTGGACGTAATACTCTCTAAATTCCAACGGCGAATTTCGCAAGAAATCTTGCATATCCGATCGATCGCGCTCGAAGTACAGAGATTTCCACGCACCCACTCGCGCCGCGGAGAGGCACTGCGCCTGCCTGCGCTGCTGCTCGGTATCTGTCATCAACGACGGATGAGTTGGCAGTGCTCCCCACCCCCGTCGACCGTAGTGGTCCCCGCCACTCCCCGCACTCCGCGCGCCCCATGCAAACCGCTGCGCCTGCTTTCGTTCGGTAGCCGTCGGCGGACCCCACCGCATACAAAACAACCGCCTCCACAGGCTTTCCTCTGACGCTGCCAGGTTCAGAAAACGACAAACTGCAGAGCAAACCGACAAATCCTCAGGCGATAAAAACTTTAACACGTGCAAGAACAGCTCGCGTGGGAGCTTCTCGATCCCCGTCCCTCCGTCGCCTCCATCTTCCTCTTGTATAATTACTACACTCGAAGCCGCTTCTCCGTCTGACTGCACACGTGGCTTAGCAGTTTTGTTCCCTTCCCTCTTATCCTCTCCATCAGTCTCCACCTCCACCCTCCCCCTCCTAACTCCCGCCTTACCCGCCACCTCTTCGGTAATCATTATAGATACCCAATCATCATTACGATTACCAATATCCATTGCACGTCGTCTTCGATCTTCGTCTTCCCCTTCTCCCTGGGAATGCCGACGCTTAGGCCTTCTTCCACTTGTGTCAATCGCGTGACAGGTCCGCATCCTCTTCTTACAACCAGCGACGGTGAGGCAAGACGAAGTGGGGAGGGGCACTGGCAACGACTTGGTCTTCCCTGCCTCCACCGACATCTCCTCCTTCAGATCCCTCTTCTTCTCCATTTCTTTGCTCTCCTGCCCATCCTCCTCCTCCCTCTCTTTTCTCTTTACTCCCTTCCCCACGCCCTCTTCCTTCAGACCCATATAACGCCCGACAGAAGCCACCTGCCCATTCTCGTCCTTCCTTACCGTCATACCTATTTCTTCCTCCTCACCTCCGTCTTCTCCCTCCTCTCTCTCCTCTCCCTCCTCTCCCTCCTCTCCCTCCTCTTCCTCTTCCCCTCCCTCTTCTTCCTCCTCTCCTCCCTCTTCTCCCTCTTCTTCCTCCTCTCCTCCCTCTTCTTCCTCCTCTCCTCCCTCTTCTTCATCATCTTCTACTGTTAGCAGGTCGTCTTCTAAAGCTCTTGCCAGTTCATCGTCGCTGCAATCCTCATCGACACCCGCCATTCGATCAAGGTCGGGATCGGGATCGGCATCGGCGTTGTCGTTGAAGGTCGTTTTCTCTCCTTTCTCCATCGCTACACTCCTTGGGACAGCGCCGATGCCGATCCCGACCTTGATCCCGACCTAGATTGAACGCCCAACCGAATCCGTCCCTCACAGGTCCAGTTAAGCTAGCCCGCCCTTAGCTCAACGAACCGGGGTATCAGCCCTGATGACCTCTCCCTCCTTATCTGGCAGTCCGCAGCAAGAGCATTACATTGGGCACCCAAACCCTCGGCCTCGATGTTAATCACCCCCAGCAGCAGAAAAGGGAAAACCAGACAAAGTAACAGAAAAAGCCCCGGGAACAGAAGCGAAGCCCTATTGCTTCCAGTACAAAAGGAGGTGACCAGCAGGCTTAAAAAAAAAAAAAACAGACCGAAACTGTCTCCTCAACTACTCTATATTCGAAGGCAGCCACCTTCACCGGCAGAAGTTAGAGGGAAAGAAAGATGAAGACCGGGACAGAAAGAAAGACGAAGTCAGAGGGAGGATATGAAGCAGTATTCTTCTTCTTCTTGCACCTCCTCCTCCTCATACCTTCCACACAAGCACACCATCCTTTCCTTAACTAATATCAGACGGTTATTATCCACTATTCTCTCTCTCTCTCTCTCTCTCTCTCTCTCTCTCTCTCTCTCTCTCTCTCTCTCTCTCTCTCGGCCGATGTTCGAAGCTACCATGAACAGGCGAGCAGTCGTCTGCACACGCTTGGCTCCTGAGAGGAGGCCGGCCTGGCTTCGCTTTGGTGATCGCCAATCAACCGCGCGGATGTGTGTGTGAGTGAGAGAGAGAGAGAGAGAGAGAGAGAGAGAGAGAGAGAGAGAGAGAGAGAGAGAGAGAGAGAGAGGGAGAGAGTCGGGGTTGTGCTCTCATTGAATGGCGGCACAAGGTTCAGCACACCGAATTCTGAACCTGTGCGAAGCTGACGCGGCGAATCGTGGTGAGGACACGTGTCCGAACCCCCGTAAATGTGGGCCCCTCAACCGCAGAAGGCTCCTCGCTCTGGAGCCGCATTGGACCTGTCCTCCCAGCCCCATCTTCCCCATCTTCCTCATCTCCCCCGACCTCGAGATAGCAGAGCCATGCAGATCCCGACTCTTTAACTTCACCACCGTCCGCGTGTTACTGACAATACGCCATCGCGAGTTAGCTGGCAAATTCGTCCGTTATGGCGTGTCCTTTTTCCCCTTTAAAAAAGAAACAAAAACGCGGAAAGCCGGTAGTGGCCAACGACGTTTCACACGGCGCGCGTCCAAGTCTGTACGGTGTCCGTCCACCAATCGCCAAATATGAAAAATGACGATTGTACGTTGGCATCAAAGGCGTCCCAATACATTCGCCATTTTTCACACACAGCGAGATGGCATAAGCCTCCTGTTGCTTTCACACAGGGGACCACGCGGAAACATCCTCTGAACACCTACCATGTAGCACAATCAACCGTAACAGGAAGGCAGGAAAAAAAAAAAGAAAAAGAAAGAAGGAAGGGGAAACGGACAAAAACAAGCCCACAGCCAAGATCCTGTTCGAGGGGACTCCATAATGGTTGATGGTTGAAACCATGACGCATTCGGTTATCTCGCTTCCTTTCCATTTTTTTTTTCTCTTTTTTTTGCCTAAGGGGTGCTGGTAAGAGCAGGCACCGCTATTGGTGGGGAGCAGCACCTGCTGGTTCTTTTTTGCTTTTCGTTTTTTGAAAGGGAATGGCTTTCAGGTATCGTCATTCGGATTCGAGCACGGTGTCTGTACCTCATGAGTTCATATGGGTGTACCAATTGCTGTTCTTCTTTTTTTTTTCGTGGAGGAATCGAACACGTGTTCGCGTCAGCCAAGGGATGGGTTGTTCTTTTTTGGGGTAAATATTGCATCTGTACCCCGCTATACCCACTCCCAGGTCGAACTTGCATCTATGCCCGGAGCCCATTCAACTTTGCATAGTACCCAGCTTTTCCCCTGCGGGGAAATTGTCGGTGTACCCAGTCCGGCAGGCCCTCGGTTTGGGACCACGAGATTATGCTCATGCCCACCAAGTGGACCGGTGTGGCCCAAGCCTGGGTATGAGCATAATTTCAGCCATCTGGTAACAGGGTATATGAATAGTTTTGAAGGTCCAGCTTAGGTCCTGGGTATGTCCATACTGTGTAACGCGCAGGGCGCAGGAGCGCAGCCAAACGGGAACGAGGAGCCGGGAGCGCAGCCAAACGGGAGCGAGGAGCAGGACAGGTGAGGTGGCCCTTTTCTCACTCCTCCCGCCTCCACCCCACAGCCAAACGGGAGCGAGGAGCAGGACAGGCGAGGTGGCCCTTTTTTCACTCCTCCCACCTCCACCACCATCGATCGACCGCCGTGGACTCTGGGCCTCGCCACACCACTCTCGAAATGTGAAAGAAAGACAAAAAATGTGGCGGTTGCATCTGGCCATGTTCTAGCGAGAAGTTCATTCCCATTTTGCAAATTTCGAGAATGGTGAGGCGATGTCGAACCTTACCTTTGGGCCTCGCTGCACTACTCAGCACATGCACAAAAGACAAAAACTATGGTGGTGTATACTTCCATGTTCGAGCGGGAAGATTCATTCATTCACATCACATTTTGCACAGTGGTGGAGCGAGGGCGTTTGGCCATCCCTTCCGTCACTTATCACTTACTAGACCCCGCCTGCCCCAAAACAAACCCCCCCCACCCCCCCCCCCCCCTCCTCTTCAAAAACGAAGGCCGAAACGGAAAAAAAAAAACATCCACCCCAAAAAAGGAAAGGCCGGGTGACGCCCGCCACGGCCAAACAATGACCTATGCAAACTGCCCTTGGTCGCCCGCGCTCCAACCTCTGAGCCGACCTTTTCGGCTACCGGTCTGTGCCCTGCCCCCGACTGTGCACCTTGTAGACTCCCCATAAACCCCGTTAGGACTTTTTTTTTTTTTTAAGGGAACAAAGCTCCAACAAAGCTCCAATAACCCCGTTAGGACTCGTCGACACTTCCATAAAAAGGACACCCCGCTACACGACAAAGTGCAACGGGGTAAGACGCAGCCTTTGGCTACGAAATTTGTGCACTCTGGTAGTTGGTTATAACCGCAATTTTGTGGTACCAACCTCCACCTCAGTCCTGGACATGCCAACAATTTCCACCTGCCATTTTTGGGTATAGATGCAAGTTGGCTCTGGGACTGGGTATAGCAAGTATTCCGTGTTTTGTTTTGTTTTTCTTCCTTCTTTCACTACCTACTTACGACTACCCTAAGCCTGTACAGCGGACTCTTGCAAGCACAGCTATCTCTCACAATCAAGGGTCCGCATGCTGCCGCCTGCCCTTATCTGCAGTGGTCGGGGAGTAGGGTGGGCCTGTCATTTGTGGGGCCTGCTAACGTGAGACAAGAAGTCGTTGTATCCCCAATCTACTTCCACCGCCCCCATCAAGTAACAGCACTGTCAATGACCAGCACTCTCCCAGACACCACACACACACATTGACTTACCATGAGGGCACGGATGCGCAGCCCGTAGTTCGTTTGTTGGTTCGGGAAAGGTAAGGTAGTGATTATGCTGTATGTACGTTTTGTTATGTTCGCTATACACAACTCGACGAGAGTGTGTGTGGGGTCCTGGTTGCTGCTTTATTCACGATGTTCATGGGACACTGGACCCAGTTTCCAGCAGGTGGCGCTCTCCATAAATAGAAGGAGAATGTGTATGCATGTGTGTGCGCGCGCGCGTGTGTGTGTGTGTGTGTGTGTGTGTGTGTGTGTGTGTGTGTGTGTG